GAGGGCGGGGTATAAATAAAAAATTATTGTTGTTGTTGTTGTTGTTGTTGTTGTTATTTATTATTATTATTATTACAGTGGTGCCTCGCAAGACGAAATTAATTCGTTCCGCAAGTTTTTTCGTCTAGCGAATTTTTCGTCTTGCGAAGCACGGTTTCCCATAGGAATGCATTGAAAATCAATTAATGCATTCCTATGGTCAAAAAAAGTCGAAACAAAGCCAAATTTGGTACAACAACAGTTTATTAAGTGCTCTTTAAAGTCACACATACTGTAAAGAGCATTTCAAATAAATTAAGTTTCTAAACATGACAGAAAAACATTTAAAAATCAACAAAGTGCACAGCACATACATTTTCTAAGACTCTGGGGGACAACTCGAAGAAGGTTCCTCTTCCACTCTTTTCTTCTTGCTGAGGAACCTGTCCATGGTCTGCTGCTTCATCCGCCTTTTCAGCAGCTCCCTGAAAGGCGACATGACCGTCGCATCAAAAGTGTTCGCCTGGTCATGTGCCACGTGCTTGTTAGGGTGGTGCCGCTGTGCAAAAGCCTGCACCTCCTTCCACTTCTGGCAAATGTCCCTCAGTTCTTTGGAGGACAGCCGTTCCTCAGTTGCTTCCTCCTCTTCCAGCGAGGCCTGCTCCTGCGCAACCTCTGCCTGCAGTTCGACCAGCTCCTGGGTGGTCAGCTCATGGTCGTGCTCCTCCACCATCTCGCTGACGTCCTCCTCTGTGACCTCCAGGCCCATGGTCCTCCCCAAAGCAACAATGTCCTGCACCACTGTTGACTCTGGTGCATCAGAGTCACTTGGTGCCACACAGTCCGGCCACAGGCTGCGCCAAGCGCAATTCAAATTTCTCTGGCTGATCCCGTTCCAGGCCGTGGTGATCATCTTCAAGCAGGTGACGATGTCAAAGTGGTCCTTCCAGAATTCCCGCAGGGTGATGGTGGTGCAATCAGTCACCTCGAAGCATCGCCTGAAAAGCTCCTTGGTGTAGAGTTTTTTGAAATTGGCGATGACCTGCTGATCCATCGGCTGGAGCAGTGGCATGGTGTTAGGCAGCAGGAACATGATTCTGATGAAGCTGAACTCCTCCAGCAATTCCACCTCAAGGCCTTTAGGATGAGCAGGAGCATTGTCCATCAGAAGCAAAGCCTTCAGCGGCAGGTCGTTATCCAGCACGTACTGCTTGACAGCAGGGCCAAAAGCAAGATTGACCCAGTCCACAAACAGCACACGTGTGACCCAAGCCTTACTGTTGGATCGCCACATGACACTCAGCTGCTCCTTGTCGACCTTGTGTTTCTTGAAGGCCCGTGGGTTCTCCGAGTGGTACACCAGCAGGGGCGTGATCTTCAGGTCGCCGCTTGCGTTGGCACAGAAGAGCAGGGTCAGGCAACTTGGCCTCCTCCTGTGTGATGAAAGTCCTTTTGGGCATCCTCTTCCAAAACAGCCCGGTCTCGTCACAGTTGAAGACTTGCTGTGGAACGTAGCCCTCCGCCTTCACAGCCTCCAGGAACTCCGCTGCAAAGTCTTCAGCCGCAGGAACATCAGAACTGGCAGCCTCTCCATGCCTGACCACGCCGTGGATTCCAGATCTTGCCTTGAACCGGTCAAACCAGCCTCTGCTTGCCTTGAAGACTTCTGGCTCGCCTGATGTTCCTGGCTGTTCCCGGATGAGGTCAGCGTGCAAGGCCTTGGCCTTCTCACAAATGACGGCCTCAGTCACTGTGTCCCCTGCACACTGCTTCTCTTCTAACCAGATGAGCAGCAACTTCTCGACCTCCTCCAGAACAGCTGGACGGTTCTTCACGATCCTGGTGACTCCCTTGGCTGCATCAGTCGCAAGGATCTTCTCCCTCATCTTCAGGATGGTGCCGATGGTCGATGGGTTCCTGCCGTACTCCCTGGCGAGGTCTGTCACACGCATTCCACCGTCATGCTTCCAGATGATCTCCTTCTCCATTTCCAGCGTCACCTTCTCCTTCTTCCTCTCGCCGGCCTCCGCAGCAGCAGTCTTCTTGGGTCCCATGGCAGCACAGCTCCTACCTTCGTAAACTCAGAAAAAGAAAAAGAAAATCAGCAATTCAAACCCAGAACCAAGTCCTTGGATTCCAAACACCCAACCCAAAATCCAAAAACCCCCAAAAAAGTTTTAGAAGTTTAACTTACGAAATGGCTGCAAATCACCAAAGTCTTCAAAAACCTCAAATGGCTGCAAAAGAAGTTTTGGAAAAGCTTTAAAAATCACCAAAGTCTTCAAAAACCTCAACTGTTCCCCCAGCCACCCACCCACCACACAGAAATTGCAAATCCCTCCCCAACTGTTCCCCAGCCCCTCCCCAACTGTTGCAAACCCCTCCCCAACTGTTGCAAACCCCTCCCCAACTGTTCCCCCAGCCACCCAGCACAGCACACAGAAATTCAAAACCCACAATTTAAAAAAACAAACAAACAGCAGAGTGGCCCAATGGTCACAGAAAACCATAAAAATGCAGAAAAAACCACACAAGCTTTCAGATTCTTGCAAACCCCTCCCTAACTGTTGCAAACCCCTCCCCAACTGTTCCCCCAGCCACCCAGTACACAGAAATTCAAAACCCACCAAAAAATTTTTTTAAAAAACAACATGGCCCAATGGTCACAGAAAACCATAAAAATAAAAAAATAAAAACCACACAAGCTCCCAGATTCTTGCAAACCCCTCCTCAACTGTTCCCCCAGCCACCCAGCACACAGAAATTCAAACCCACCATTTTTTTTTAAAAAAAACAACATGGCCCAATGGTCACAGAAAACCATGAAAATGCAGAAAAAACCACACAAGCTCCCAGATTCTTGCAAACCCCTCCTCAACTGTTCCCCCAGCCAGCCAGCACACAGAAATTCAAAACCCACAAAATTTTTTTTAAAAAAAACAACATGGCCCAATGGTCACAGAAAATCATAAAATTAAAAAAAAAACAACAACCCACACAAGCTTCCAGATTCTTGCAAACCTCTCCCCAACACCAAGTCCTTGAATTCTCCAGTGTTTCCCAACCTGACCACTGGTCTTGCTAGCTAGGGATGATGGGAGTTGTAGTCCAAAAACAGCTGGAGGCCCAAGGTTGGGAAACACCCCAACCCAAAATCCAAAAACCCCCCAAAAAGTTTCAAAAGTTTAACTTACCAAATGGCTGCAGAAGAAGTTTTGGAAAAGCTTCAAAAATTAAGCAAAGTCTTTAAAAAGCTCAAAAAGGCTACCACACTATGTGTGCTATGTGTTGCTCCTCGAAGTCAAGTCGCAACTGCACCTCTTCAAGCAATGCACCCTGGGTATTAACGGTTTTAAGACAAAGGAAACAAACTTGCAAGACGTTTTCGTGTTGCGAAGCAAGCCCATAGGGAAATTCGTCTTGCGAAGCAACTTGAAAACGGAAAACTCTTTCGTCTAGCGAGTTTTTCGTCTTGCGAGGCGTTCGTCTTGCGGGGCACCACTGTATTATTATTACTGGACGAGGGAGCTGATGTTTGTCCACAGACAGTTCTTCCATGTCATGTGGCCAGCATGACTAAGCCACTTCTGACAAAACCAGAGCAGCGCACAGAAACGCCATTTACCTTCCCGCCAGAGCGGTACCTATTTATCTACTTGCACTTTGATGTGCTTTCGAACTGCTAGGTTGGCAGGAGCAGGGACCGAGCAATGGGAGCTCACCCCGTTGCGGGGATTCAAACCGCTGACCTACTGATCGGCAAGCCCTAGGCTCTGTGGTTTAGACCATAGCGCCACCCATGCTTAGGCCTCGTCAATCCTAAATCTGGACCTGATCAGCATAGTCAACGTTGAGCTAAAAGAACCAGTAGCCTAGATGTACCTATTAGGCAACTGCCTTCATTGCAGGGGGTTGGACTAGATGACCCTTGGGGTCCTTCCAACTCTACAATTCTATGCAGTTTAAGTAGTTCTGTCCCTATAATTCCCAAAAGAAAAGCTTCTGGGTTTTCTTATTCTTGTATGCTACTACAGCGACAAGAATGTTACTCGCCCTCAAAATGGAAAAATGCAGAAATCCCATCAAAGGAAGAATGGATACAAAAATGTACGGAGTATGCAGAAATGGTGAAATTTACCGGAAGAATAAGAAATCAAGATAACAAACTTTTTCTAAAAGAATGCAAATGGTTCATTAAATATTTACAGATAAATTGCAAACAGATAAAGAACATTGGCGGGATTCTTGTAATAACCTGCAGTTTCATAAGAGTACATATTTAAAGTAGATGAATAAATGAGCAAATTAAGTTAATTTGGATATGTGGAAGATATTAAAAATAAATTCAAGGAACCCCAGAAAGGGGGAAGGAAGTCAAGTTTTGAAATGTTAAAATGATTGTAAAATTAGTGAAATGTATAAACCTGAAAAGCATAAATAATAATAATAAAACAACTCTATGATTCTACATTTTATGTGGATGGTGCTGTTTCAATTGCATTAGCAGCAGCACCTGCCTCTGAACATTGCATTAGCAGCAGCACCTGCCTCTGAACATTGCAAACAGAGGGAGGGGAGCACTGTTCAGACAACTGGTTCCTGTCACTCTTATGTAAAGTTTATATTGCATAGAACACACCATGAAAAACACTGTTTTAAAAATCAGGAATTTCGTGTTTTAAACGTCACTGTCTGCTAAGGTAGCCTTTTTTGATCCACCCTTTTGTAGAAATAACAGAACCTTCATTTCCTCCCCATTGATTTATAGAAACTGTGTGATCTTATAGCTTTGTCATCACTTGTGTTTATGAAACTCCTGAAGAGCTTGTGTAAGACAAACATGATGGTTCTTATAACACCAGTTCCTGAGAGCTCCAGTTAATTTAAAACTTAAATAATGGATGTTTCCAAGACGTACCAGAGACGAAGTGATTATGAAGGATACTGTATACATCAGAAGTGCCTATACTGTAGTTCTTGTTAATAGTTGTACTGAGTCAATGTTTCCATTACTCTTCCAGAGCCCAGTGATCATTTGTCATATAGCAACCGGTCCCAGGTTAACTCACTTTTGAACTGTTGGGAAGAAGCTCTTAAAGATGCAGAAATGGCCTGTAGTCTCCAGCCAACGTGGGTAAAGGTGAGTGCCGGTTTCAGATCCACATCTTTTTTATTTAACTGAGCAAATTGTCACTGTCCGTGTCACAGTGGAAATAAATGTCTCTGGTTTATGGCCAATTGGCAATTCCTCAAACAGTCCAGCAGATTGTGCACAGTTAAATTTGTGATGGGAAATATGCAGCGGTAACTTCTGAGATATAAAGGAGGCCTGAGCTTGCAAATAACTCCACGCAAGTTACTAGTCCACAAACATTTTGGTAAAGGTAAAGGTAAAGGGACCCCTGACCATTAGGTCCAGTCGTGGCCGACTCTGGGGTTGCGGCACTCATCTCGCTTTATTGGCTGAGGGAGCCGGCGTACAGCTTCCGGACCATGTGGCCAGCATGACTAAGCCGCTTCTGGCGAACCAGAGCAGCGCACGGAAACGCCATTTACCTTCCCGCCAGAGTGGTACCTATTTATCTACTTGCACTTTGACATGCTTTCGAACTGCTAGGTTGACAGGAGCAGGGACCAAGCAACGGGAGCTCACCCTGTTGTGGGGATTTGAACTGCCGACCTTCTGATCAGCCAGCCCTAGGCTCTGTGGTTTAACCCACAGCGCCGCCCGCGCCCCCCAACGTTTTGGTAGTTTCTGGCAAATTGGTGGCCTGAAAGAAAAAATCAAGTTATCAGCTACGTTTACAAAATATTCTTCCTTGCCTAGCCACTTGGAGGTAATTTTGCTCACTACAGATGACCTAGTATGGCAGCGGTGAGGAATCTGAGGCTCATGGGCAAATGCAGCTCATTAGATATCTTTGTCTGTCTGTCAGGACTCTCCATAGGCTACACTTCCTATTCCCAGCCCTCACACTCCTTGAGTGGTTTTGCCTGGCTGAAATTTGTCCTTGATCTCTGATAATGCTTTGTGCATGCATAATTTTGCCTCAGGCCTTGTCATGTGGCCTCCAGAAGACTCCTCAGAAGGAATGTGGCCCTCAGTAAGAACATGTTTATCGGCTTTTGTGGTATAACAGGGCTGGTGCACTTGCCGCCTTCAAGATGCTGGTTCACAAACTATAGGTCTTCTCTGCTGTATCCCCTGAAGCACAGGAAGGGCTGTAGCTGGGTGGCAGAGCTTTTGCTTCACATGCAGAAGGTTCCAAGTTCAATTCCCAGAGACTCCAGGTACGGCCGAGAGAGACTCCCTCTCTGGAACTCTAGAGAGCCCTTGCCAGTCAGTGTGAACAATACTAAACTTGATGAACTAAACAATGGTCTGACTCTGTACAAGGCAATTTCCTGTGTTTTTACTGCATATGCTTAAGTTGTTAGGTGAGCCTAGGAAAAGGCAGTGATGACTCCCTTCCTTCTTGCAGGGTCACTTACGGAAGGGACAAGCCCTTGTTAAACTTGGGAAAACAGAAGAAGCTTTTCATGCCTTTTTATTCTCCCTTGCCTTGGATTCTGGGAACAAAATGGCCAGATCAGAAGCTCAAAGGGTGAGTCCTATGTATCTTTTTATCTGATGTCCACATCTCTAACCGCAGCACCATCTCCTATTTTAAGAAAGAAGCCAACCTGTAGCTTACCAGTTTATCAGATGTGGTTGTGCTTCATTATGCTCTCCACTATTGTATTGTCTGGGTGAACCTTATGTAAGTTATTTTGGAGCAGGGAACTGTCACCATCTTGTTGCCATATGAAGCTGCCAAGCACATCGGTGGTGCTGTGATGGAGAGGTCACACCGAGTCCTTCGCAGTGCACATGACAGGCAGGCAAAATAGCAAATCAGATGTTTGTTCAGCTATCGGTCTTGCCCCTTTTGCACCATGCTCACTTTTTAAAATGTAGGGTGTTCACTTCAACTTTGATCCCCACCACTTCATCAATAATACTTTTAAAAAATGCTTCGGGGATTGTGGTGAAGTTGGCATGGATCTTTGTGACTTTGCAAGTTCACCTTACTTGGAACTGTATCCTGGTTGCCCTACATGACTCCACCTTTCCCCCATCAGCTCCCTTCTTCAAAACCCACCTTTCCCTTAGAAGTACTTATCATAACCCCATGCCTCACATCTATTGCCCATGGGTTTCTAAAGTAATTGCATATTGTTCCCGTGTCTGCCCTCTGCATCCATCTCCCTAATGGCATTGTATAAATAAAAAACAGCCATAATCATGATTTTTAGTCCACTTTTTGTCAGCTGTCATATTAAACCTCTAAGCCAAGTCATGTCATCATGTTGTAAGATTTAAAAAGGGCTAGAGATAGCTTAATTATGGTGATGTTGGTGCCATCAAATGCACACAGTTTTCCTCCCTGGGATGAACTTTGAAAAACCAGTTGCACAAGGTTTTTGGCATGATTCAGGCTGAACTGGGGAAAGCTGGCTGTGGGGAGGAAGGCTGCCAGTTGGCTAGTGACTCTGATGTCACCAACCCGCCACTTCTTCTTTTCTTCTTGGCAGCCCCCGGAGCAATTTTGCAACTGGTTTTAAAATTAACTTCCTTTTCTTGGTAAGGTGAAATACATACATATATATATATTGTATATATATATATATATATATATATATATATATATACCGTATATATATGCCAACTTTTGTATCTTGGCATGTCCCTTTCCCCCTGCCTCCCTGACAAACCATTGCCTTATGTGCTGTCATTGTGCCATGTGCTGTTTTTGTACTGGTGTGTCTCATTTCAGTGCTGTTCCTCAGCACAACGCTGCAATGAACTGATAATGTTCATTTTCCAAAGTTGCATTGGTGACAGGGCATTGTGTGAAGGAGGCTGCATTTAATGATAAAAGTAGCCTTTGGCTGAATTGGATGACTGTCCTCAGAGCACAGCACAGTGAACTTGTCTGATTCTTCACTAAGGCTGTTTGGGCAGTTGTGACACTCTTCTTCTTTCAGAAGTGCTCGGACTGAACCCATAAAGCTGAGCTCATCCTAGCTGGTTGCTTAGTTTATAATTGCCATCAGCCTAAGAAGTGGGTTGTGTTCAGTGAGCATGATAAAATTCAGGGAAGCAACCTGACCTCCCTTCTACCTTGGAATTCCGGTGTGGAGACTGGGAAAAGTCTCTGTTCCATATTCAATGCCTGTTTATTACAGTATATACCTTTGCTCGCAAGGGCTCTTTAATTCACCTCCTTCTCCAGTGTAAATCACTAGAGGCTCTGGCAGGATTTGCTGCTTGAGTATCTTGAGCAATTGGCATTCAGAAAAATGAGCTGCAGGTAGGGGAGGTAGGGGTGTGGAGCCTATGATATGGTCAGACTCCCATCAACCATGACCATTGGCCGTGCTGGCTGGGGAGAGGCATCTGGAGGGGCACAGGTTCCCCAGCCCTGAAATAAAGTGTGGGGAGGAGGTTAAAGAGCCCTTTGGCTTGGGTCTTAGGTAATATGGAAGCAAATAAGTTTCTGGCCCTCTAGCCCTTGCTCAATTCAGAATATTGCCTCCGGGTTTCACAAATACTGTTTGTTCATGAATATAGGGGAAAGGAGTTGGGAGACATCTCAGCCAAGAGAAACCCGTACTGCCCTGTGACTTGGTCACACCACACAGTGTGCATGAGGCTTCCACTGTGCAATTCAAGCTGGGAGGGTTGCGGCAAACTGCACTGGGCCCATGCAATGCAATATTGATGCCAATGGTTGGCGTTAGCTTCTTAGTCTCATGAGATGAGAATGCAAAACGGCAGGTAGGGGATAAATGGCCCTCCAGATGTTGCTGGACTCTAGCTTGGATAGTGGTCAAGGTTGATGGGAGTTGTAGTCCTTACAACTTCTGGAGGAACTGGGCTCCCTATCCCTGATGTAGAGGGCAGAAAAAAGGGATTGCCTCTAAGAAACAAAAACGTAGGAAGCAACCTCATACCAGATCAGAGTATTTGTCTAGCCCAGTGTTTCCCAAACTTGGTTCTTAAGCTGTTGTTTTTGGACTACAATTCCCATCATCCCTGATCACTGGCCTTGCTAGCTAGGGATGATGGGGGTTGTAGTCAAAAAACAGCTGGAGACCCAAGTTTGGGAAACCCTGATCTAGCCCAACGTTGTCTATGCAGACCAGCAGCTGCTCTTTGGGCAAAGGAATCTTCCTGTTGCTACCTGATCCTTTTGACTGGAGAGGGAAGGGGCTAATGATTATCATCCAAAGGAGCCCAGGGCAGCAAATGTACATGCAATAAAATATATTTAAAAGAATACCATTACAGGTGTAGACTTTGAAAGCTCCCTACTTAAAAGTCTTATTGAAAGAGGGGATGGCTTCTGGTAGCTGCCAAAAAGGCAACAGAAGCAAGCCTTGGATTACGGTATTTTAGGAGCCCAGGAAATAAAGCAGCAGAATTTTCCAGCCTCTGATTTTATTTTTATGCTGAGATAGCTTGCAGTTAATAGTTTTCAGATGAATCAGCATTCTTTTGATGCTGGCACTTAACCAGTGGTTTTCACATCTTTGTGAATCTGTTGGCGCTCTCTCTCTCTCTCTCTCTCTCTGAATGTATGACGATCCCATTTTGGAATGTAAAAGCACACAGCAAATCTTGCTTTGGTGCAGAGGATTAAACTTGATGCTTACCTCTGTTGGATTTCATTCAGAGATGGGATGCATAGGCTTGGCCCATCCTGTTGAACCTTGGGTTTAGATTCCTGCCCACTTCGTGTAGCTTTGAACTATGTTCTAATGCTTATCCCAAGAGACAGGGAATGTGCTCTAGCTTAACCCACCCCACAATGTGGTTGTGTAGATAAAAGTAGGATAACCCCAGGTATGCTCGCCTCTTCCCTTTGAAAGACAGGTAGGATGCAGGTGTTTAGATTTTTAATGGTGTGGGTAGAACACAAGTCAAATCTGTCCTGCCCTGTGGTCAAACCCAGATGACTGAAAATTGTTTTGTTTTTTTGTTTTGTTAGGAGTCTGTCTATTAAACAGGAAGTGTATGACTATCAACCTGTTGGCATTGACAAGATGAGTTTGCATTGCAGCAGCCTTTTGTGTGTGTGCTTTTCATAGCTTAACTGTTCCGCAGGGAAGCTTAAAGAGCACTTCTCTCCTGAATACCCCAAGCCTCAACATCTGTTGCTAGCTTACACTAAATAAGATCCTTGTCCCAGATAGCCTTGTATTGATGGCCACGATTGACAATGGCTCTCTGGAGCCCCTGTAGAGCTTTTCCATCACCTGCTGCCACATCCGCTTCATACATTTAAAGCATATTTCATGCTCAAGAATTATAGGAACTGCGGTTTGTTAAGGGTGCTGGGAATCGTAGCTCTGTGAGAGGGAAACTACAGTTCCCTGGATTCTTTAGGGCAAGCCATGTGCTTTAAATGTGTGTTAAATCAAATGTGCATTAAATTTATAGTGTGGATGTGGCCTAGTCCTCAGAAGTGGAAATGCCAGGAATTGAACGCAAGACTTTATGTGTTCAAATTAAGTAATGAAGTGTGTGTGTGTGTTTGTTTTATATCATAGCTTCTACTTAATTTAATTTCGCGTGTCCCGAGGGATGCTCAGGAACGCATGCCTGATATCCTGCAGCTGGTATCCCGTCACCCTAAATTAAAAGGGAACCTTTTAAGTTCAGCACCATCTGAAAGCACCATCCATTGCCTACAAAGTTTGATCAAGGTAACACTTGTCTGTGATACTGTCCTTGTATGTTAATATTTGGTTGTGGAGGGGAGGTGGTTGCACAGTTTGCTGCTGGGTGAGTGTGTAGGGTCATTGGCGTGATGCATGAGTGCATGCTGCTGACCACCCTGAGATTTTATTAGCAAGGCACATGGGGGGTCTAGTTTTATTAACAAGACGCTCATGGGGTTCTCTGAGAATTGCAGCCAGTCATTAGGGAAAACCTTGGCAGAAAGGTTGGGATTGAAGACTCATTAAACTGGGTCTTATTTCTTACAACTTAAGAGTCTGGCTGGTAGATCAGACCCAAATGGTCCTAGGCCTCCCGCCTCCTTCCCAAAGCCTGGTTTGTGCTTCCCCAGCTTTGTAAGGAGGGGGAGGGCTCTAGGACCCTGTCAAAATCCTTGTGCCTCCTTCCTAAGGGGGGGGGCTCATTACCTGCCTTGGGAAGGCAGTAAGATCAATGAGGGGTGTCATAGTACCCAAGTCCCGCCACAGCCAGGTGCTTCTGGGAAATGTCAAAGCTGGACATGTGTGCAATGTTTTTTTTGTTTTTTTATAAGTTCTCCTTTCAAGACCTTGACCAGAAAGTGTGATCTATGATTTCAGAATAGGCTTTGTATGGATTTACTGGGCTGCAAAGAACTGATCTTGTGTCTTTGGGCTGGTGAGATAGAACAGCCATTGTATTTGCCTTCTCTGTCTGGCCCTTGGTACTCTGCCCAGGCCACACCGCTCACCAGCCCTGCTTCAAACCTTCCTTGAGTGTTTTTGCCTAGCTGGAATGTGTTGTTGAACTCTGATTATGCCTCTTGCTTGTCTGGATGGAGGACTGAGAGAGGGGTGAGTGGGTGGGTGGGTGGGTATAGAAGCTAGCCTATTGCATAAAGGTTTACATTCATTGCTCCACCCACTTCTGGCTGTGGCCCTGGCAGGGAATGCAACCCTTAAACTGTTTTACTGCTTAGTGTTGCACCCAGTGTATTATCTGTACTTTCATTGCTGTGCAGTCAGTCCCCCCCCCCACCACCACAAAAAAGTGCACTGAGGGGGTGCAAAATTAAGAAGATCCATAACTGAGAAGATCCATTTGGGGGTGCAAAATTTTGGCCACGCACAGGGCGTCATATTACAAAAGATTACCCAAGTCTGTCTCTGTTACTTTTGCAGCAGGATTGTTTTTCTATTGAAGTCATTTGTTGCTCATCCTGCTTCAGTTGTCTCACGACAAATTGTGAGCAAGATGCTGTACAGGCAAGATGTTGCAGAAGTTCTATTTAGAATTGGGGATGAGTGCAACCTTAAGCCTGATTTTGGGGGGGTGTAGCTTTTTCTGCAGGGTGATTTGATTGCTTTGAAGCACCGAATTGCATTTCAGGGCTTGAGTTGAGAGGCAGTTTAATTTATGGAGCCTCCCTTCCAGCATTGAAGTATTGTTCCTTGGAAACAAAGGGACCCCTACCTCTTCCCCATTCTCTGGTAGTCACCTCTGATCAGGGCTGGCCCACCCATGAGGCAAGGTGAGGTGACTGCCTCAGATCCCAATGTCGATCTTTCTCCCCCAGCTTGTTCCTGATGTAGGTCTTTGCTGACACCTTCTTCCCTGGAGGGCAGGGGCTGCCATTCTGGGGTCTGCCTCAGTTGCCAAAATGTATTGGACCAGTTTTGTCTCTGGTGGCCATCTCTGAAACCGGCCAAGGTAGCTTTGGGACAGAGTTGCTCTTTCATCATGGTGCAGGGAAGAGGTTCCTAAAACACAGCCTCATTGCCAAAGCATCCTACATAGCAAACTCATTCTCCAAATTCTGATCCTTGCACAGTCCAAATGGCTGTGTCTAGTATCCATGCCAAAGAGGGTGATGTGGACAAGCTTGGGGGAATTGCAATGTTCGCCGAAGTACAAAAAAAAAACCAAAGGTGGAGAAGAGACTCCCAAAAAGCATCTTAGTGAAGGCTGAGCATGCTAAATGGACCCGGAAAAGTGTTCAGGTTGGTGGGTTAGATGGAAAACTGCAGAGAGGGGATTAGATTGGAACGGATTGTCTTGGGGAAAGGTGTGACTGGCTGGCAGGAACCCTGAGCAGGAACATTCTGCATGGCACCATTTTGTTGTGAGTCCCACCTAGAATCACAGAATCGTAGCGTTGGAAGGGACCATGAGGGTCATCTTGTCCAACCCCCCTGCAATGCAGTGATCTTTCACTCAACGTGGGGCTTGAATCCACAGCCCTTAGATTAAGAGTCTCATGCTCTGCCAACTGAGCTATCCCACCAATAGTAGTCCCACTCCCAGCAGACACATTAAAGTTAATGGGCCTGACTAATATAGGGACCATTAATAGACAGGACTAACTAAAGGTCTACTATAACTTAGTCACATACAAACTCCAGATCTTTATGTAGAAGCATGAGATGTACCCTGCCTGGAAGGCCCCTTGAAAAAACTCAGATAATAGTTTGCCCCAATGGCAAGCCTTGGCTTATGACTGCTAAGGTTAAATCTTGACCGGCTCTGGTAACCAGGCCTTTTAAAGCTTAACCTCAACAATAGCTTATTTTCTATTTTGAATGTTATTAACTCCCATAAGAAGTAGCCTCAATTTTCACAAATCAATTGAATGAAGTAGTCAATCTTTTTCAAAGCCATACCACTTCATACTACTACAACTACTGATATTTTTTATTTTTTAATTAACATAATACTGCTAATAATATACCTGCATGTTGTGAACCAGCTTGTTGGGCAGAAAGCAAAGTTTGAAACCTTCTCCCTGACATCTTACTTTTCTACATGCAGGGTATGTTTGGGAGGGGGAGGGGGGAATAATGTGAGCCTTCACTTGTAGGCTGAAATGATACCACCCTGAAGCAGATTTATTTTATTTATTCACCTTTTCATTTTCCTTTCAATATTTCCAAACTACTATTGTATTTGTTTATCAGCTACCCAACACATAGTGATAATTTCTCTGGGAAACATGCAAACAGGAAGACAATTTTAAAAACCACTATATGGGAGAAACACCATGAGAATGGGAGTTAAAATATCTTCCTGCTGCCCGTGGTGAGCAGGGAGTTGAATGAAGCCTGCTCTCTTCTCTGATAGAACCCTGTTCTTTGTTATTTCTTGGGCCTCATCTGCATTCTACATTTAAATCAGTATCATACTGCTTTAACCAATCACAGCTTATCCCAAAGAATCCTGGGAACTGTAGTTTGTCTGGAATGCAAGATAAAAAGGTTGTTAACAGAGGTGTTCCATGTTCTGTGCAGGTGCGCTTTGAGGATATCTGTGAAGGTCTTGTGAATAACATCATCTCTGGGGATCAGTAGTTCTAAAGAATAACCTTTTTCTTTGCCCAGGAAAATATGGAAATGTGTGCTGCTCGCCGTGAAGATCAGAAAGCAGCTGACCGCAGCGGCTTAGAAAAGTCCACCCCAGTGGCAGAGAGCAAGAAAGGTAGTCATGCCTCCTCAGCGACTGAATCAGCCACCCTTATATCTGATCAGTGCAGTCCTCTAAAGAGAAAATACTGTTCTGATGAGGCCCCAAACACTGACCCACCTAGCAAAATTATGAAAAGGGGTAAGCTTTCTTTAAAAAAGAAAAAAGAATCTATTTTAGCACTGAAGTAAAGTCGGGGACGCGGGTGGCGCTGTGGGTTAAACCACAGAGCCTAGGGCCTGCCGATCGAAAGGTCGTGGTTCGAATCCCCGCGGCGGGGTGAGCTCCCGTCGTTCGGTCCCAGCTCCTGCCTACCTAGCAGTTTGAAAGCACCCCTAAGTGCAAGTAGATAAATAGGGACCGCTTTCTAGCAGGAAGGTAAACAGCATTTCCGTGTGCTGCTCTGGTGCTGGCTCACCAGATGCAGCTTAGTCACGCTGGCCACGTGACCCGGAAGTGTCTTCGGACAGCGCCGGCTCCCGGCCTCTTGAGCTAGATGAGCGCGCAACACCAGTGTCAGACACGACTGGCCCTGATGGGCAGGGGTACCTTTACCTTTAAAGTGGCAATGCCAAAAAAAGGATGGCTTATAATTTTTGAGAAGTTTGCACTTTCTAATTTATATGGCTAGATGCATTTTTAAAATGTTACTTTAATTTAAATAGCAATAGAGTTCACCTCACAATAGTGTGGGAAGACTGAGGAGGTCACCTGAGTACCTGCTTAGTCTTCCATCCAGATGCTGACTGCTGATAGGCCATTTCCGGACCCCCATCCCTTCTGAAGTTTCTTTATTTAAATTGGGCTTGGACCTGAGAACCTTTCCAACAGAGGGTGGCTGTATCCAACAAAGTTTTACTCGCAAGGCATTAAGGGGAAATCAAATCATTATGTTCTATAAAGTAAAGGTAAAGGGACCCCCGACCATTAGGTCCAGTTGTGGCTGACTCTGGGGTTGCAGCACTCATCTCGCTTTATTGGCCGAGGGAGCCGGCATACAGCTTCTGGGTTATGTGGCCAGCATGACTAAGCCACTTCTGGCGAACCAGAGCAGCGCACGGAAATACCGTTTACCTTCCTGCCAGAGTGGTACTTATTTATCTACTCGCACATTGACGTGCTTTTGAACTGCTAGGTTGGCAGGAGCCGGGACCGAACAACGGGAGCTCACCCCGTCGCAGGGATTCGAACCACTGACCTTCTGATCGGCAAGTCCTAGGCTCTGTGGTTTAACCCACAGCGCCACCTGCGTCCCTGATAATATGTTCTATAGGTGGTATCTAACACCTTCAAAAATAGCTAAAATGTATAAAACAAAACATTTGTTTTTTCTGTTTTGTTGTTGTTGTTCTGATGTATCAATAAAATCTGTTTTAAAAAATGAAATTAATGGACCTGCATTAGTGATGTTCATTACTTTCAGTAGGTCTACTCTAAGTAGGACTAGCATTTGATACAAATCAGGATGTCTTCAAATAGAGGAAAGAGCCTAAATTTAAATTCAGTTGTAAAATCTGAATATGTACCTTTTTGGAAATGTTACTTGTAGCTAGGCTACATGATGTGCAGAAAGAGGTGGTAGATTGTACCACTTCACATTGCATATGCCAGGGTTCACTACATCTTCGCATGAAAAAACCCACCACCCTCTATGTGTGAAAAATTAGCCCATAAGAAAGCGAGAGAAACTACATGTAGGAAAGTCTTGTTCATTATTTTTAAAAAAAATTGCCATGGGGGTGGAGGATTCTAAAATACAACAAATCCCTGCTCTCTAAAGTGGCACCATCCAGAATTTTACCACTGTATGTTCTCCATAGGGACGCGGGTGGCGCTTTGGGTTAAACCACAGAGCCTAGGACTTGCTGATCAGAAGGTCGGTGGTTTGAATCCCTGCAATGGGGTGAGCTCCCGTTGCTTGGTCCCTGCTCCTGCCACCCTAGCAGTTCAAAAGCACTTCAAAGTGCAAGTAGATAAATAGGCACCGCTCTGGCGGGAAGGTAAACAACGTTTCCGTGTGTTGCTCTGGTTCGCCAGAAGCGGCTTAGTCATGCTGGCCACATGACCCGGAAGCTGTACACCGACTCCCTCGGCCAGTAAAGCGAGATGAGCGCCGCAACCCCAGAGTCGGCCACGACTGGACCTAATGCTCAGGGGTCCCTTTACCTTTACCTTTATGTTCTGCATAAAGTACATGTGGATTAAATGCCCCCCCTAAACACAATGGTGTGGGGCGAGTGACAACACTTTTCTCTAAACTATAAAACTTTTGTATTAAGCACTTACGAATGTTAGACCTTTGAACCTGCAGACACGATTGTGATGCCCCAAAATGTGAGGTGCAAATGGTGGGTTCTTGTGGGAGAGACGATTGTTAAGTCACCAATTTCGATTGTTTGGTGTTTACACATCTGTGGCCAAGTGCACACTTTTAACTCCAATATATGCTCCTTCCAGTTCTGTAATGTGTGTGTTTGGTTTTTCTCCTTCTTTGTGTCCCCCCCCCCCACTCCCATTTTTAACAGATGCAAGTAAGGGGAAAGGATCCGGTGCTGGGAAGAGTTCTCTGTTTGGATTTGTGGAACCATCAGATATGGAGTGTTCGTTGTGCATGAGGTAACCATTACTATCTTCTTGTCTAAAATAGGTGCAGGGAACTTTTCAGTCTGCAGATGTTGATTGACTACAACTCCATGCTTGCTGGGGCTGATGGGAGCTGGCATTCAGCAACTTCTGGAGGGCCAGAGATTTCTTGTGGCTCATGAGAAGACTCTGCCCAGAGTCTGCAGAGGAGGGTGGAGGGAACCCCAAAGAGACCAGAGGCACAGCAGGGCTCTGTTTAGGCTGCCCAGCCTCCCTGCCTAACAGCTGGTGTGCAGGGTCGCACAGCAGCAGCAGCAGCTGCTTTCCCATGTGTCCTCCAGATATTTTGGTGTGGATTGGAAAGAGACTGGGGGGGGGAGAGAGCTGGAGAGCAGGGGAAAATAGGCTTTTAGTGGGTGTTCCCTACTTTACACAATTCCACTTAGGCACGCAGGGGCCCAGAACGTAACCCCCATGTAAGTGGGGGGGGGGTGCCTGTACTTCTTAAATAGGGTCCAAACCAGTGGACCTTCCACTCATCAGCCTAACTGACTCACAACTTGCTTGGGGAAAACAGGGCTGGTTTCCAGCCTTATCCCACCCCTGAGATCAAAGCAGCTTGCTCATTTCCCTGGTAGACCCCCTCAATTTCTCAAAGCCCAGGAACTCCAAGACAAACTCACCTTGCATTTCCCAGACAGCTCCATTATATTTTATTCAGAGCATAAAGGCAGACCATGCTCCCCCAAGTCTCTTCCAGGGGTGGAAGAATATGCTGATCTCTTATGACTCTGAGCCTAACCTTTCAGTAACTGGATTCCAAGCTTCTAGGGATTCTAGAGTGCTGGGACTGGCAAACACACACATATCAACAGTCGGATTATGAAACTTTATCAGAAATAAATGAGTCTTGAAGAAAGAGACAATGTACATAATTTTTTAAACCAAGAAAATCTTTAATAAAAATTATTTAAGAAAAAAGAAAAAAAGAAAAAAATTGTGGGGGAAAGCATGCAACAGGTCAAACAGAATGCAAAATAAATCAAAGTGCTTTGGCTGTATAGCTGGACTAATCCTATCCTTTAAGCCACAGGACAGTATTTTTGGTCTACTTACAAGTAGGCAGCAAGGATGGTCAGATTCAGCCTGGATCCCTAATGGTAAGAGGGACCATAGCTGCAGCTCAGCTTTTAAAGGCTTTCTCTCCTCTCCTTGGAGGGAGCAACCCATGGCTCTTTCTGACCAGTGACAGCCACAGTCAGTTTGTCAGATATGTCACACCTCCCATATGGGAAACCCAAGTACCCTTTTGCATTTGAACAGAACTGGCAGGAAATGGGTGACAGACTGGCTTAGAGAAATGGTGGAAGCAGGAGATCTGTCCTTTGTGACAGATGCAAACCAAGGTGCAGTGTTAACTCAGGAATAGAAACCCACTTGAAACCAATTCCGGAACCTGCTTAATGCTAACCATGGTTGATGGTGGTGCCAACATAACCCTGAAAGCTGGAGGGTGGAATTCAAGTTCTTCAGGAGAGGGAATGAAAAGGAATGTAAGCATGAACACCTAGAAAGAATTGTTCAGGTTGCTAGGCAGGTGATAGGTTGCCTGAATTGCTGGAAATCCATGCGACTGATTTGGCATGGGTCTGAGTCTTTTTACTTTAACTTGTAGAGCTTGTCATAATTGCCCATAAGGAAATTCAACAAAATCTGCATACTGTATTTCCATGAACCAGTAACCCAGTGATCTCATCTCCAACCGGCCCAAGCTGTTATTAACCCAGTTTGCCCGCCCAACTAAGTAATGTAGTTGACCTACATCCAGGGAGTGAGTCAGGGACAGACCAGGAAACCTGCATAAACACCTGCAGCACACCTAGGTAATCGGACAGAATTTCTCCGAGGCTGCTTTTTAATCCTCTCCCCTGATCCTTCTCCATAAAACACATTCAGACTCGTACCCTGAACTGCTTTGAACTCAGGTGCTTGAATCCTCAGCCTTGTTCCAGGTGAGCTAATAGAATACAGTCGTACCTCGGGCTACAGATGCTTCAGGTTGCGTTTTTTCAGGTTATGGACCTCTGAAACCCGGAAGTACCAGAACGGGTTACTTCCGGGTTTTGGTGGTCGCACATGCGCAGAAGCGCTAAATAGCTTTTGCTCATGCGCAGAAGCGCCAAATCGCAACCCGCACGTGCGCAGACACGCTGCTGCGGGTTGCAAACTAGCATCCCACACGGATCACGTTCGCAACCTGAGGGTCCACTGTCATTTTGGCTGCTCTGCTGGAAGTGACAAGTTGCTGGAGGAGAGGACTTTCAGGCCCAGCCCAAATATTAAAACTTTCAGCCGCCACCACCGTATTAACATTTCAGGCCCCCAATCCATAACAACTTTCAGCTGAGTCATGGCTTTCCCCAAAGCAGCCTGAGACTGTAGTTTGTAAAAGGTGCTGAGAATTGTTGGGAGACCCCTATTTCCCTTTCAGAGCTACAGTTTTCACAGTGCCCTGGGAAGTAGGATTGGTTGTTAAACCACTCTGGGAATTGTAGCTCTGTGAAGGGAATAGAGGCCTCCTAGCAACTCTCAACTGCTGTTCCCAGGGCTCTCCATGATATTGCTTTTAACTGTATAGTGCATGTGGGGCCCTAGACACATAAAATAGATTTCTACTTACCAGTATATGATTTCATAGTTACACATATGCACACACGTAACAAGGAAACCCTATACAGATCATCTTCTCCACTATTAAAGGAACTCATTCTCTCTGTGGATCCTTATATAGTTAATATGTGACTATTGACTATATAACACAAACAAAGGGACATCAGTAGGTTCAGGGAAATCCCAGGATTTGGAAAGAAATAAAAAATTAAGGAAGGGACACCTCAGTCAGCCCAATGAGGACTGAATATGCTCAATGATCAAGGCATTCTGACTGATTTAGACAAGAAAAATGAGGAAACTGGGTGGAGTATCCTCCAAAAGTGTAAGGCTGGCTGGCTGGAACTCCGGATAGGAAGACCTCACACAGCAACATTCTGTTACTGTTCTACTTGTAACACTCCTGATGTTTTTGGTCCTTGGAACTTCACCCTTGCCACATTGATTGTTCATGGGTGTCAACTGCTGTGAATTCCCATGCCTTCCATTATTCCTGCTAAAAGATTTTATTGCTTTTCTTTCCTCTCCTGATTTTTCCGTACCAGGGTCTTCTACGAACCTGTCACCACCCCTTGTGGACATACCTTCTGCCTGAAATGCCTTGAAAGATGTTTGGATCACAAACCAAATTGCCCCCTGTGCAAAGAGGGTCTCTCAGAGGTGAGCCTGTGTTGCTTGTGTCTTGTCACTGATGTTTCTCTAAATATTGGCATGCACCTGGGGTGGGTTAGGGACTGAAATGAGTCGTGAAACTGGAAGGACTCTATCGCAATGGGCAGAACAACTGGTTTCCATGCAGGAGATCCCAGGTTCAAATCCCTCCATCTCCATGTAGGGCTAGGAATTCCCCTCTGGAATAGGCAGCTTCCTGAGTTCCTGTATTGAAATGCTCCTTTTGCCATAGCCCATGTTAGGCATTCTGCTCATGCCCCCTCAACCCCTGCCCCTCTTGGCTTGTGAAATACAGCAGAGGGAGGGTAACTGGTTGGGTCCAGTGGTTAATGCTTCACTGCATGAGGGGCTGGTCCCTGCTGCTTCTAAAGAAACTGGCTCTGGACCCTAGGGATTGGAACAGCTATTGACCAGTTGCCAATAACCCGTTTTGGGGGAAGGTGGTGGAGAAGTCTGTAGTGAGGCAGCTGCAGGCATTATTTGAGGATGTGGATGATTTGGATCCATTCCAATCTGGGTTCAGGCCTGGCCACAGAACTGAGTCGCCCTTGGTTGCCCTGATGGATGACCTTTGCAGAGAGCAGGACAGAGGAGGGGTGTGACTTTGCTCCTGCCGCTTGATCCTTTGTTGGCATTTGATACCATTAACCATGGTATCCTGCTGGACATTCATACTTATACAAGTCTATCCCAATGCTTAAGCGGGTGGCGCTGTGGTCTAAAACACAGAGCCTAGGGCTTGCCGATCAGAAGATTGGCGGTTCGAATCCCCGCGACGGGGTGAGCTCCCGTTGCTCGGTCCCTGCTCCTGCCAACCTAGCAGTTCGAAAGCACGTCAAAGTGCAAGTAGATAAATAGGTACTGCTCTGGCGGGAAGGTAAACGGCGTTTCCATGCGCTGCTCTGGTTTGCCAGAAGCGGCCTAGTCATGCTGGCCACATGACCTGGAAGCAGTCTGCGGACAAACACCGGCTCCCTCACTCTATAGAGCAAGATGAGCACCGCAACCCCCGAGTCGTCCACGACTGGACCTAATGGTCAGGGGTCCCTTTACCTTTCCCCGATGCTTACAAATACTGGTGTGAATTTTAATCCATTTTAACATTTCAGTCCATTTAGCATTTAAGATTTTGTATGTTTTAGGTTCCCTGCTAGGTATAAAAGCCCCTACCATGTTCAGGGCATGCAAAGCACTGTGTGGAAACCCTCCCCCCCCACCTGCCTTAGGCCCAACCCCATCTTTGCCTGCCCCACACTTGATGTCAGGTGCAGAGCAGGTAGCAATGCTTGGTCGGTGAGCATGGTTTCTTTGCAAACTTTCGTATTCATAACTCCGCCCACCCGGAAATCACACAGCTCCCCGCCCACTAGTAGAAATTAGCATATTGGGCTTCTGCCCCAGAACCTATTGATTCAGACATATTAATGGCACTATTATTTGCTTGTCACATTTTATTCCATACACCCTTGAAAGGGCTCCAGGTAGATACAAGGTAGGGGAGTTTCAGAGGCACTCAGGCTGCCTCCACCAAAGGCTTGTCAGCAGTCTGTTAGCTAGAGGACAAAAAAAAAAAAATCAGATGAAGCTGAAGATTTTAACAGGGGAAGCTGCTCTAACGGAATCCTGAACATTTCTAAACCAAGCCTGAGAGGAATCCCTGTTTTCTGTTCCAGTGTTTGGCAATAAGGAAACACTGTAAGACAGTGCTGGTGGAAGACTTAATAGCAAAGTACCTTCCTGAGCAACTCACAGAAAGAAGGAGGCTCCATGAAGAGGAAATTGCTGAACTTTCCAAGTATGTCATATGTATTTTACCCAGTTCCCTCCAAGTGGATTTCCCCTCTTCCACCTCCCTTCCCAATATTTAACCCTCCAGGAGTGAAGAGTTATGAAAAGTGTCAGAAAGTTATTCTGTTGACATAGAACTGACCCAGTGCATTGGGGGAGAGAATCAGAACCTTACCTCAAATACACTCAGCTATCAACCTTCCAAAAAATGGTTTCATGTAACAAATGTTTGCAATAGTTCTGTATAATCATTTTTAAATACAGTGGTACCTCAGGTTACATACGCTTCAGGTTACAGATTCCACTAACCCAGAAATAGTGTTTCAGGTTAAGAACTTTGCTTCAGGATAAGAACCAGAAATCAGGCTCCAGCAGCGCGGCAGCAGCAGGAGGCCCCATTAGCTAAAGTGGTGCTTCAGGTTAAGAACGGTTTCAGGTTAAGTATGGACCTCCAGAACAAATTAAGTACTTAACCTGAGGTACCAATGTAGATTCATGGATAAGGGTTATAGCTAGCTAATTCTTGCTTACAATAAACCCACTGATATTAATAGACCCAGGTCCGTTAATTTCAATAGGTCTGCTCTTGAGTGGCTACAACCGCAAGTGTTTATGACTTAAGGTTTGACCTGAAAGTTTTGTTTCTTAATTATCCTGTCAGCTGGGGTAGAATTCCTTTGTGCCCAAGGTGTTGTTGGGGTTTATGCGAGCAAAGTCCAGTGAAGCAATAAAACTTATTCACCTGAAGGTGAAGGCTTAGGAGAATTTTCTGACTGTTGCCTCCTTCAGAACCAGCTCACCCATTAGGCAAGGTGAACTTTCTACTTCAGGCAGCAGGAGCCCCCGGGGAAGCACACCCACAGGCAAAGTACCAACTCTATCTGTGCTGATTTTGGGCAAAATTGCGTCCATTTGGGGCAGGATTTCTCCCAAAATTGCATGAGACCTTGTGGCGCTGATGGCAGTGCCTAATCTCTGCCATGCTAGAAGGGGCAGAGCAGGCAGTGACAGGAGCAGATAGATGGTGGCAGGAGAACCAAGGCAAAATTGGCACTTCTTGGTAGTGGCACCCTCCCTGTGGAACACCCTCCCTTCAGATGCCAAGGAAATAAACAACTACCTGACTTTTAGAAGACACCTGAAAGCAGCTCTGTTTAGGGAAGTTTTCAATGTTTGATGTTTTAGTATTTTTGGAAATGTGCTGTGAGCTGCCCAGATTGGCTGGGGAAACCCAACCAGATGGGCTGGTAATAATAATAATAATAATAATAATAATAATAATAATAATACAGTAACATTATTATTATTATTAAGCCTATCAGTCTTCTCTTCAATCTCTCTCTGGTTCTAGAGGGGATTCACATAAGCTTTTAGCATTCTCAGAACCAGTGGGTTTTTTTAATTAAAAAATGTTTAGAGGTACTCTCATTTTGACTCAATATATATATATATAGTAAATGGACAAAAGTACAAAGATTCACAAAATGTTTAGGGGTATTCATACCCCTGCGTCCCCACAGAAAAAAGCACTGCTCAGAACTCTCACACCAAGCAGGCTTTGGTACCCTATCTCCTGCAACATCTCTGTGCAGAAGTCTGCATTTGCAAGCTCCCCTTCTCTGTTCAGCTGAGCGGAAAGGGTAGGAACACGATGTGCCATCCTGGTACAAGATAAGGGATCACAAGCTGCGACCTTGATTCTCTCATCAGCAGTACATTGAAAATATAATCCTCTGTGCCCAACAGATCATAAACAGGTGTTTGGAGAAGGACAAGAGACGGGGGGGGGGCTAGTTCTGAATAACCCTCCATGCGCTGCTGGAGAGGTTCAGCAATGTGTAAGCTGTGCGTGGGTTTCATATGGCTGATGTACTCACTGATTACACTGTATGTGATGCACCAACCCCCCCGGGGGAGCCTTGCCCACTCTTTTTAGCTGGGCAGCGGGGGGAAAGCCTGCTCTGTTGGAAATTGTTGGGATGTAGGGATGTACCCATCCCTAATTTTGACTGCATCAAGATGGCTGGGGTTGCACAGGTTGGGTTTTGCTCTATTCAGACAACATTTTCTTTACATTTCCTCCCCCCCCCCAATTTTTTTATTGATTTTCCAAATTTATAACAAACATCAAAAAAGGAAAAAGGAAACAAACAAACAAACAAACAAACAAACCAACATAGATCCTAACTGTAATAGTTCCATTTTTGTTAACATTGCTGGGTGACTTCTTCAAATCCCCCTGGCTGAGTTTCTATGTATATCATTGTAACGGTTTTCCAAAACTATTTTCACATAAAATTTACTTAGTCAATTAACATCTTTCTTTCTTTTCATTTTAACTTTAAACATATTGTTCTATAACATGACATATTTAAATCCTAGGCCATTCTGGAACTTGCAAGTATTTCTATTTTAGTTATCTTAGCATATTTAGCTAAGTAGTCTTTAAATTTCGTCCATTCCTTCTGGCATTCCTCCTCCTTCTGGTCACGGACACTTCCGGTCAGGTCGGCTAGCTCCCCAAAGTCCATCATCATCATCTGCCATTCCTCCACTGTTGGCACTACTTGTGTTTTCCAATTTTTAGCCAGCAAAATTCTAGCAGCAGTTGTGGCATACAAAAACAATCTAACATCTTTCTTGGGCAATTCCAAACCTATTATTCAAAGAAGAACATTTTCTTTACATTTCCTTACCTGATAGGCCACATGCAAATCATACATTTAAAACACTGTGGTGCTACTTTAGGCAATCATGGCTCCCCCCCCAAAAAAAATAATCAAATCTGGGAGGTGTTAAAACATTTACCACCACCACCCTTGGGGAGTGTTGGCTATCACTCGCATAGCTGTCAAGTGTCCCTTATTTGAAGGGACAGTCCCTTATTCCAGCGCCATGTCCCGCTGCTGTCCCTTATTGATGGATGTCCCTTAAATGTCCCTTAAATTTCAAAGGAAGCAGCTCCTCTCCCTCCCTCCCTCCCTGCCGGCCAGGGAGGAGGGAGGCTCCAACTGTGTTGCTTGGCTGTGTTGCTCACCCAATAAGAAGTCTAAGAACGACTGGGGGGGTGGAGCTTGCATGCCTTGTGTGTGGCTAGTTAATGCAAACTGAGGGGGTTTTTGAATGCTGGACGCCATTTTGTTGCACGTGCTGCTGCAAACTTTGCAGTGCAAAGCCAGGCCGGGGAGCCATCTTAAGTTGAGGCTGCATAGGCCTTGTGGTGCATGTGATTCAGATTCTATTCAGTTGAACCTCTGGTTACAAAGTTGGTTGGACAGTGTTCTCGAAGCTACCAGCATGAGTTTGACCAGACTGCAGGAGGACAGGAAGACTGGAGTGCCTGGAACAGGTGAGGCTGCAGGTCTCTTATTTTGGCTGCTGGTCCCTTATTTTCAAATCTGTAAGTTGACAGCTATGCACTCGTAGCTGAGTAAGATTGTCTTCCATGAGCACAGTCTTAACAGTGAGTCCGTAAGTGACCGTGGAGGCCAAATCTGGATCCACACGTCCTTCCACAGTGGGGACATTGGTTTCCAGGCAGGAGTTGATCACGGCGTGGATTTGACAAGCATGCCTTCCTCTTAGTATGTTTCTCCCTTGCGTCCTGAGTTCAAGTGTCTTCAAAGCTCATGACACCTTTGGTAAAGGCTATTCTCCAATTGGAGCACTTGCAGGCCAGGAGCAAGGATTCATTAAGAATGAAGTCTGTTTTTCTCTGAGAGGACCCTGTTCTTGGGTTTAAGCAAACATGGCTTCCCCCAAAGAATCCTTGGAGGTGTGGTTTGCCAAGAGTGCTGAGAGTTGTTAGGAGACCGCCTATTCTCCTCACAGAACTAAAATTACCACAGAACTAAAATTACTGTAGCTCTGTGAGGGGAATAGGGGTCACCTAACAACTCTCAGCACCCTTAAACTACAAGTCCCAGATTCCTTTGGGGGGAGCCATGACCATTAAAAGTAGTATAATACTGTTTTAAATGCATGGTGTGGCTGGAATATGGCTGTGATCTTTCCCACAACATAAAAAAAAAAAACCACCTGGGGATCTAGTGGAAGTTTAGTACCCATTCCGTGTTCATTGTTTCCAGAGGGAGAGAAAATCAGCTTGCCACCCTGTTAACTTGGAAAATAGCAGGAGTTGTGTGTGACTAAACATGAAGCGGTATCCCAGCATACACTTCTTTCTCACCATTTAAAAACTAGTGTTCCATTGCAGTATATTGATCAAAAAGCCACAGTCCCATAACACAACAGATACTGCAGCATAAAAGGGATGTTAGAAACCGAGACAGAAGCACCAGGAAAAACTAACACAATACAGTGGTACCACTGGTTACGTACTTAATTCGTTCCGGAGGTCCGTTCTTAACCTGAAACTGTTCTTCACCTGAAGCGCCACTTTAGCTAATGGGGGCTCCTGCTGAGCTGTGCTGGTGCCGCGTGATTTCTGTTCTCATCCTGATGCAAAGTTCTTAACCCAAGGTACTGTTTCTGGGTTAGCGGAGTCTGTAACCTGAAGCGTTTGTAACCCGAGGTAGCACTGTAAACCCCACATATGAATGCAGACGACGGCTAAAAATCTAGTAGATCAGCAAAACGATACAAAAAACCAGGAACTGCGGGCTTTCTCTCCTAGTACAATATGAAGAAACAAACGATATTCTGAGTTGATCGCCGCCCTCTCTGTCAGTTTAATATTTGCCCCTCTTCCACACCCTGCCTCTCTTGTGTTTTGCATTGTGAGCAAGTGTGGCATGTTCAGAGTCTTAACCCAAAAGTTTGTCCTGCAGCTTGAATAAGAACGTCCCCATCTTTGTCTGCACGATTGCCTACCCGACCGTCCCTTGCCCGCTGCACATCTTTGAACCATGCTACCGCCTGATGATCCGCAGATGTATGGAAACTGGCACCAAGCAGTTTGGGATGTGCCTTGCGGACCCTGTCAGAGGGTGAGTGACAGAGAGCATGATGCTGTTATGTGCTGCTAGACCAGCTTTGCCCAACATGAGTGAATTCCAGTGGTGGGTAGTACCAGAGGAAAACGTGGGTGGAGCAACAGGTGAACATTTTGCCTTTGTACAACAGGGTAGTTTGTGTGCACACTCACTCTTTCCTCCACCCAGGGAAGCAAGAAGCGTTATCAAAATTCAAGGGCACATTCCAGCCAGGCATTGTCATGGACTGGTTGGGCACAGAGGAATGGTGGGAGAAACCAGCTGAGGAACCCCCAAGGGAAGATGGCTCAGAGCCTGTGGTGGTGGGGCAAAGATGAATGGACAGAGAGAGAAGAGGGGCAGAGTGCGGGGAGGAGGTGTTGGAAGCTGAAGACGCAACAGGGTTTAGTGAGCAGGAAGAGGCTGGGGCAGAGAGTGGTACAGAATCTGAGGCAGAAGAGGAGGCTGTAGAGGAGGGGGGCCAAGAGGCAGAGAAGAAGCCAAGTAATCTCCCTTTCCTGCTGTGACCAGCTCCCCTCCATCTTGGTTGCCCAGTACCCACAGAGGTATGAAGAGGGCAGAGCAGAGATACAGAAGGTGAGGAAGGCTCAGGCTCCTTGGAAGAACCCGGGAGGAGACTTAGCTGTGGGAAGGCAGGGACCTTCAGTCCTTGCCACTCCCTTATAGGGGCAAGATCCACCAGCTGTGCTCACTAGGCCTAGCCTCCTGAGCTGTTTTTCCCCCCTTTAATAGCTCACACTGATGCTGTGTGAGTTATCATGAGGGCCAAATAGAGAGGCTTGGAGAGCCACATTTGGCCAACCCCTGCTGTAGGCAATACTGAGTGAGATGGATCAATGGTCTGATTAGACAGCTTCCTATGGTTCTGTGGACCACAAGCTCCATCTGGCTGGGGGTAAATCCTAAAATGTCTGGAAAGACACCAAGTTGAGCAAGTCTGAAGTAGACTGCTGAATGTCTTCACCACTGACCTGTGGAAACTGCGGCCAGAAAAGAGTAACTCTTGTTTCTTTACCTTGTCCTTTCTGGCTAACAGATTTGCAGATTATGGCTGTATGCTGGAGATAAAAAATGTTCAGTTCTTTGCTGACGGCCGATCTGTGGTTGACAGTATTGGCAAGAGGAGGTTCAAGGTGTTGAAGCATGGCCAACGCGATGGATACAACACCGCAGACATTGAGTACATAGAAGATCAGAAGGTGAGCATTGACTCGGTGTGCCAGAGCTACAGCTTCCAGAGTTCCCTGGGAACAGGAATTGTTGTTAAACCACTCTGGAAACTAGAGCTCTGTGGTGTCTCCAAACAACTCTCAGCCCCTTTAAAGCAGTGTTCCCCAACCCCCGGTCCGCGGCCCGGTGCCGGTCCGTGGATCAATCGGCACCGGGCCACCCGAGGAACTTCAAATCATTTCACTGTGGCGGGCGGCCGAGGCGCAGAGCATTGCGCCCTCTCAAGCCCGCCCATTGTGTGACAATAGCGAATGAAAATTCGCTATTGTTACACTGATGCTCCTCCTGGCCAATCAGGGAGCGGGTCCTCCCGCTTCCTGATTGGCCGAAAGGCAAACCTCACGCCATTGGCCGAGGAGGAGGCGCCACAGGAGGACTGAGGACTCGAGGTCAAAGACGCGGGGACTGAAGAGAAGCTGCCGTGAGGGAAGTGCACGGAGGGGGGGACTCAGCTCAAAACAAGCGGGCCACGGAAAAATTATCAAACATTTACCGGTCCGCGGCGATAAAAAGGTTGGGGAGCACTGCTTTAAAGGACTACAGCTCCTAGAATTCTTTGCAGGGAGCCATGAACGTTCTCCCTCAGGAGGTGGTGGACTCTCCTTCCTTGGAGTTTTTTAAGCAGTGGTTGGATGGCCATATGTCATGGATGCTTTAGCTGAGATTCCTGCAGGGGGTTGGACTAGATGACCCTTGGGGTCCCTTCCAACTCTACGATTCTCTGATGCATAGTAGGGATGTGGTCTTGTGCCCTCCCTTGACCATAGGACTGACAAGATAGTAACAGGACTACTTTGTTCCTTAGGCTCAGGGAAGGTGTCTGTCATGGCCTTGGCTCTGCAGACCCTAATTTGTGGAGTCCTGATGTTCAGTGGTCTCCTGCCTACCACTCTCTGGTTCAGTGGGCCCCAGTATCTGGCTCAGAGCCAGGAAGCCAGTCAAGCCCCTCAGCCAGTGGGCCTGCTGCTATTGATTCAGTGTCGTGGCCACCACTGCATTCTGGGTTCCTGACATATCCATGTTTTCTTACTGCTTTAATTTAATTTAATTTAACAGGATTTATATACTGCTTCATCAAAACCTACCTGGTATACATAAATATATACATTAAAATGACCAGGTAAGGTAAGTTGGGTGGAATATTTTTTTAAAATAAAACCAGCAGGTTCAAAGATAAACATATATAAAATAAAACTACATGTCAAATTCACATGTCTGGGTAGGCTTGCATAAAAATAAAAATAAAAATAAATTATAGCAGGTGTCAAAAACAGTACAGTAAAGGCAGCTGCTTAATATCAATTATTTATTACCAGTATCATTTCATAGCCCCCTTTCCTCCAAGGAGCTGATTGTGGTATACTATTTTATTATTGTAACAACCCTGTGAGGTAGGCCAGCTTCAGTGAGGAATGCCTTGACTTGAGCATCCCAAATCCAGCCTACAATCTTGACAACTAATCCAGGTGCCTGGGTTTCTTTGTTAGAATCCCTCTAAAACTGTTTTTCCCCTGACGCTCCCTGGTGATACCTCCTGGGATAGCTCAGTTTGGTAGAGCATGAGATTTAATCTCAGGGTTGTGGGTTCAAGCCCCACGTTGGGCAAAAGATTCCTGCATTGTAGAGGGTTGGACTAGATGACCCTTGTGTCCCCCTTCCAACTCTACAACTCTATGATTCCAGGTGCAAGGAGCAGAAAGTGCTGAGCTGAAGCTCCTTCACGAGTCTGTATATGACGAGGCCTACAAGTGGTTTGATGCCCTCGGTCCAGGGCTCAAGAGTCGTATCCTCGGTCACTTTGGTCTAATGCCTGCAAAGGAGTCAGATCCACAGGTAGGTACAGGATGTAACACTCCAGCAGGGACAAGAATTTGAGCTCACTCAATTTGCCCAGTTCAATCCCAGGCGTCTCCAGGCAGGCCTGGGCGTGTGAAAACCTTGGAAACCTGGAGAGCTGCTGCCAGTCTGTGTAGACAGTACCAAACTAGATGAACTGATGGTCTGGCTTGGTATAAGGCAGCTTCCTCTATTCCTTAACCTTGGAGTGCACCGTTTAGAACAGAGTGATGCTTTGCATGCCATCCTTGCATTTTTTTGTATAGTTTACCTTGGGTATAGTTTCAGTTATTTAATTATATGAAGCTTATTCATGTTGTTATATACCGTATTTTTCGCTCCATAAGGAGCACCGGACCATAAGGAGCACCTAGTTTTTAGAGGGGGAAATCAAGGGGGGGGAAATCTTACCCCCCCCCCCCGCAGCCCCAAAGAGCAGCGGACAGACTGCGCAGACAGTCTTGCTCTCCCTGCTTCAGCAAAAGGAACCTGAAGCCTGCGGAACGCAGCAGGAACTCACGCTGTGCTCCGAAGGCTTCAGGCAGCTATCCCTCTTGCTCTCCAGGCTTCAGCGAAAGCAACACGAAGCCTCCGGAGCGTGGAGTGAGCGTTCCCTCTGCGCTTGGTAGGCTTCGTGTTACTATCACTGAAGCCAAGGAGCCTACATTCGCTCCATAGGACGCACACACATTTCCCCTTAATTTTTGGAGGGGGAAAAGTGTGCCCTATAGAGCGAAAAATACGGTACGTTGCCTTTTAATTTAAGATGTTACAATTAGGTTGGCGGTTCCTGAATACGGGGTTCCATCCTGCCACTTTCTCCAATTATTAACCATGGCTGTTAACAATAATGCTTGCTCTTCCTTGCAGTGCAACCCCAATGGCCCTGCCTGGTGCTGGTGGATCCTTGCTGTCTTTCCTCTTGAGAGCAGAGCCCAGCTCCCATTTCTTGCCATGACATCCCTGAAAGAACGTCTCCTCGGCATCAAGCGCATTCTTGACTTTATGGCCAACCCAGGACCATGAGGATAAGCGGCGCAAGAGATCCTGTGAATCCTGTTAGAATACTTGAGCGTCTCTCGGCTGTTTCCTTACACTGATGACTTCTTGAGCTTTCTCTCCTGCTATTACATCTCATTGTCTCTTCACCAGCTGAAGCAAGATCTGCAAGGTTAAGCTTCACGGGTGGAAGAGCCCTTTAGCTAGTTGCAATGATGTGTTAACAGAGAATGATTTTTTTGGAGCGAGAAATGTCTCTAACATCAACACAGCAAAAACTATAGCTACTGTGCGGGGAGCATGCAGCACGATCCCAAGCACATTCTACTCAGAAGTAAGTCCTGAAAAGCGTGACAGGTCTTCACTTCCATGTAACCACGCTGAAGGGCTGCAGCCTTAATGTTGCTGAGTTGGTTCTTCAGTTCAAAAAGAATTACCAATGTTTCCATAAATATATAGATATCTTTCTACATATATGCATAATGAAAGTGAACAAAACAGATGTGAACTTTTTTCCTTTTTTTCCCCTTTTTTGCTATAAACAATTTTTTTAAAGGTTTGTCCCAATTTTTATTTTATTTTATCTGGGAACAGTTGCATTGAAATATTTCTGGTTTAATGTGAAGCTGAAATAACTTGCCATCGTGCTGTTTTATTTCAAGGCATATTCCAAAGGGTTCTGGTTTGGTGTGTTGTTTTTTTTAAAAATCTGTATATTAACAGTATTCAGAAGTTTTTGATGGATATTATTAGTATTATTTTGGACTAAAAAACGTTTATTTGGTTTTCAGTTGCAAATTCACAGCATGATCCTCTAATGTAAATTCTGCTACATTCAGTGGTGATTAGCTTACTCCCCTAGAAAGTGTGTTTAGGATCATAGCCTAAGACTGTGTGTATTCTTCATAGAGGTCTGGCTGCTTTACTATCTTACAGTGTTTTTAATAATGAACATGAAGATGGGGGGGGGGTAGGAGTGTTAATAATACACAGTCTCATGCTTGATAACTAGTTTGCTTTTACATTTTGTGGAAGGTCTAAATGGCACCGATACAATGGGTTGGATCCAGACTTTGTCATACTTAGGGTAGACCCATTGACATGAATGTGACATTGTCATGATGACTAACCTAAGATTAATTTAGGTGGGTCTGTTCAAAGCATGACTAACAGCACCACCCTAACCAAGTCCCCTTAGAAGTAAGTTGCATTGAATTCAATAGGACTTACATCTAGGAAAGTGGGGTTTGGGTTTCCACTGAAGTCTGGATCCAACCCTCTAATTTTTGAAGATATGTCAAGGTATGCTTCAATGGATTTTCTCTCTCTCTCTCTTTTAAAAAAACACACCAAAAATAGTACTTACAATTTTTTCTTTGAGTACAGAATTATCTGTACCTGGTACTAGAAACCAGATAACATCTGGACAAATCTTGTTTTGACATTTAATTTGTTAAAAGGATGTTCAAGGACAGCAGTGAGGGTCAAAGGAAGAATGATCAGGGACAAGGGAACAAGGTGTACATAACACACTGTCCTTCATATTGTTGTTTAGAGAAGCTTGCTGTGGCAGTTTGCTTTGGGATTGCTGTTATTTTTCTGATCTAAATGAATGTTGTGGCTTTGCCAAGTTGAGCTCTTAGGTGGCTGTTCACAAAACAACTGCAGACCACTTTGAAGAGACTCTTTTACAGCATTTATTTGGTAGCCTTTATACTGGGGACAGGTTGAATGGCAGCAACAGGAGGACACAAAGAACTTTCCACATAGGAAGATTATGTGCATTGCCAACAGGAGAGTAACAGATTGAGATACTTCTCCCACTGGCTTTATCAGTGTTACTCTCCCATTGGTAATTCTCAATTTACTCTCCTTGGGAATGTATTCCTAAATTGGAGAATGGTCATTGCTCAGTGGTAGAACATCTGCCTGTATGCAGAAGGCCACCAGTTCAATCCCTGGCATCTCCAGTTAGGACTGGGAGAGACCCCTGCCTGAATCCACAGAGTCACTTCCAGTCAGCATAGATGATGCTCAGCTGGCCGGACCATTGATCTGACTCTGTTCTAAGGCAGCCTCCTACATTCCCTTTCCTTTGTTGCTTTTCTGACGCCTGCATCCTCTGGCTCCCAATTGCTGCAAAACTGCATTGTTTTTATTTAGATAATGTGATAACAACATCACTTTTTAAAAGCATGTATCTTTTATCTTAACTGTACTGTGAGGCTGGTGGTGGTTTGGATGCCTCCTAACGTATTTCTGGACAGGTTTTGCTGCAGTTCTCTGAAATGCTCTTACATGAGGTCTGCATTGCAAATGGAAATGCATTGCAGTTGTATAAATTTTTTTGGGGGGTGGAGAGGGGATTGAGTTGTTCTGGGGCTGAAAACTACTGTGATGGACATTAATGTGCAGAGACGTTGACCCTTTTTAAACTTCAAAGAAGGAGGTTGAAATGCTGCTGCCACCGCGCACTGCTCCCCTTCTCCAGACTCATGATGAAAACCTGTCCTTAAAACCAGGTGAAATGTCTTATTTAATATTTGCACTCCTACCAGTTGCATTGCCAGATTTATTTATTTTATTTTTTAAAAAAATCTGTTTATTTTCTACTGGAGTGCTCAAGGCAGTTTACAAAAATATGAAATAAAAATAGCAAAAGTAGGCAATGATTGAAAACAAGATGGTGCAAAGGTATCATGAGATCTATCTATATATATACATGTGATCAAAGGAGAAGACTTAAATGCTGGGTTTAGCAAACAAAAACAGTTCATAATAGCCGTAAGCCTGGCAGAATGAACATGGATCCCTACAGACGTTCCTTTTATTCTGCATTCATGACGATTTGTGCTCTTGGTGGTATCGGGGTGATTCTACTTGATTCTGCTTTCAGTACTGTTTGTGCCATCCAGCAGTTCAAAAGCACGTCATAGTGCAAGTAGATAAATAGGTACCACTCTGGCGGGAAGGTAAACGGCATTTCCGTGCGCTGCTCTGGTTCGCCAGAAGCAGCTTAGTCATGCTGGCCACATGACCCGGAAGCTGTACGCCAGCTCCCTCGCCAATAAAGTGAAATGAGCGCCACAACCCCAGAGTCGGCCTTTTACCTTTACCCTTCCAAATAGCAATAGAACAATAATATTGCAGGAGCATCCCAGAACAACTGTTGCAGAACAGCATACGACAGTGCTATTTTTCTAGAAAAAGAGGTGCCGGAACTCACCATGAATGCCTCCCTTATTCTCTTACTATGGCAATGACGCCCACCTGAGAGGTGCCAGAACTGAGTTCCGGTGAGTTCCAGCTGAAAAAAGGGCCTGACATGTGGACAGCCTAGTGTAAATCTGCCACTAATGCACTATTATTACATAAATGACTCCTCGAAGAAGGGACAACCCTATGACACTTAAAGAGATATATGGTGGACCTAAATGGGGATGCGATTCCAGAACAGAAGAAGAAGAAGAAGAAGAAGAAGAAGAAGAAGAAGAAGAAGAAGAAGAAGAAGAGTTTGGGTTTGATATCCCGCTTTATCACTACCCAAAGGAGTCTCAAAGCGGCTAACATTCTCCTTTCCCTTCCTCCCCCACAACAAACACTCTGTGAGGTGAGTGGGGCTGAGAGACTTCAAAGAAGTGTGACTGGCCTAAGGTCACCCAGCAGCTGCATGTGGAGGAGCGGAGACGTGAACCCGGTTCACCAGATTACAAGTCTACCGCTCTTAACCGCTACACCACACTGGCTCCACCACCAGTACTGCCACCATTAGAAAAGTCCTTTCCCCAAGTACTTACAGATCTGTAGCTTACAACAGACTTGGGAACTGGGGCAGAGGATGTAATCTCCACCTCCGCCTCCTCATTGGCTATGCTCTAGCAATTGTGGAAAGCAATTGATGAAAATGCCCATGAAAAAAGTCAAAGTTGGTTACGCTACTAATCTGACTCACTGCTTTCTACATAAATCTCCATTGTGTTCTATTTTGGAGGACAGTTCTCTGCATTTGAAGACCTCTATTTGAAGATGCAAGTTCAGTTTAATGAATTATTGTTGTTGTTGTTGTTGTTGTTGTTGTTTCCAAATGTGCATCCGTATGTAAATCGGCATGTTGTACTTTATGCAAACCTGTCTTTCTTTTCTTTTGGTTGATGCATTTCCTCACTTGTTGCACTATGTAACTGGCCACTCCAGGCATTATATAGCACTAGGTCCTCAGAGACTTTTCTCCCACCTGTGGATTTTTGTGCCGGTTTCCCTCCCACCCACTCCAAGTGATAGTGTAAAAAAGAAAAAAACAGTAACGGAAATGATCTCATTCAAAAGTGGCCAGAATTTTGTGTGCGCATTTGCCTGAAAGAAACCAAAGATGTGTCGAGACCAAAACTGTACTGTGAAGCTACTCATTAAATATATGCAGTCACAAATAGGGAGCAAAGCAACACTGCAGTTGTGTGGTTTGGTTGTGTGTGCCCATACTCACCTTCTCAGGTAGAAGACCTTTCTGGGAGGTGGACAATGGCAGTTTGCATATAGCAGAGCTGAATAAATTTATGTAACCAGTGATGGAAAATTTGGCCTGCAATGAGTTATATTTATCTTCTCTGGATGGGTCTTGCCCAAATCTTTTCTATTTTTTGTTAAACCACTGGTAACCACTGGTTACTAGGAAGGTTGCCATATCAATAACATAAAAATTTGGCGCAGGTCCATTAAGGGTGTGTAAAAGAAATGTGGACAACAGCTTTTCTTGTGGGTGGAAACACCAAATTGTTGCTTTCTCTCTGTGTGACATTGAGAATGGCTGAATAAGGGGACTCATGATGCCACTGCCATCATGATTTTTTTACAGTTCTGCACCTCTACAGTTTGCCCTAATTGGTAGAGACCCCCTTCAGGCCATCTTTCAATATAGTCCAAGTCAGAGGAGATGCTATATCTGGGGGGAAATCTTAAGTATGCAATGCATAGTAAGCCTATGGTACTTAGCAAGATTGGTAGAATATCAACGATTCAATATTTAAATTAATCCGTTAAATGAAACTGTTTTGAAAAAGGTTTTACTGGATTTTGAGGATGACCCGGATGGAGTGGGCTGCAGATATTTAAAGAACTTTTTTTTAAAAAGGAATATTTTTTTAATATATACACGGACTTCAAAATCCCCATGTGGTGGGTGCCTCTTTCTCTCGCCCTGCTGAGATGCTGTCTGCCGCCACACATGTATTTTGAGGGGGCCTGGGGGGGGTGAGAGATGATATGTTTATTTTTAGAATGGTTGCTTTTATTCCTGTGCAAAGTTTTGCAGGTCTAGCAGTGCAGTCCTATTCATGTTTATTCAGAAGTAGGGCCAGCTGTGTGTTCAGTGGGGCTCCCAGGAAAGTGTATACAAGAGTGTAGCTTTGGGCTGCAGCCCTATACCCACTAACAAGACTAACAAAAGCCGGTTCGATGGGGGGTTTAAGGGAGGGCGCTTGTCAAAGGCCTCCCTCCTTCAATGAGTGAGTCTGCCTCTTCATCACCATAGCAACCTGTTGCTGTTGCTTCTGCTTCTCTCTTTCCTCATCACTTGCTCACACCTGTGTGCTGTTCAGGCAGGGGCTAATCCGTGAGCAAGCAGCCATGGGATGTACTCCTCTTCACCACCAGTGTGAACTGGTCTGTTGCAATAATGAAGAGGAGGACCAGGGCGTTCTTGTTAGAATTCCCTCTGTTGGGCAGTGCCAGTGGAATTCCTGAGTGGGCCTTAAAAAGTCATACAATTAATCAGCAGAGACTTTTTAAACCTGAAATCTAATAATATGCAGTTGTGATAGTTAGTAGACTGGCCTTTCTCAGTCTCTCTCTTGGTTTTTCAGGATGTTTTGACGTACAGTCTCCTAGAGCCCACAAAACTTGGACAGGCATTGGCAAAGTCGATGTCTGTTGTTCCTTTAAACTTTGAAGTTTTCATACGACAAGAATGACTTAACTCCTGGATTTGAAGTGCCTGAATACTTTTGTTAGTTGCTATTTATGAGCTTCTCAGACTTCATGAGCCATATACTACTTTTTGAAGAAGATTTTGAAAATACGTTTGAGAGTAAATTTTGAGCAACGAAAAGGTTTACAAAGCCGTAGTGTAGCAAAACCAGTGTTTTATGCTTTGAAATGTTTTCTGTCAAGGCTTCGGCCTAGTCTACACAAACAGCAGAACAAGGTGGCAGATTGTTCCTGAGTTGCACTGCACCATGTCTGAATGCTCCTTTAAGGTTGGTTGGTTTAGGAACTCCCTGCAAGTAGAAAACTAGCCTATTGGCTGGGGGAGTAGGTTTTATACCAACCCAGTTTCTGCTGTATAAGATTTCTACATGCAATGAGTTATGTTGGTTTGTTTAATGAAATGTATATTTTTTAAAATGGACCTCACCTGTAGTTTGTAGTAGTACAGGTGGGGCATGCAACAAAATGTTGCAGCATTAACATTTCCGGTTCATTTCCATGTCCACTCCATTTCCCTTTCTACCTACCGTACTTTCCATTTTTTTCCAGCATTGGTCACTGAACATGCTTAATCCTACATCTTTTACACACACACACGCACACACGCATGCACACACACACACACACACACACACACACACTGCACCGCCCCTTTTAGGGCTTTTTGTAAAGATTTATTGTTGTTCTGCAGATTTTAAGGTGTTGGTATTTTTAAGCCTGCTGAAGCTTAATTCTTTCGTGTGGTTCATACTACTTTAGCTATATATGCCGCAGCAGTCACATTTAAATATCAGAGATGGAAGGAGTGCCCATTTTACTATTGCAGTACTCTCAACAACTCAGCTAGTCTGCATGTGTAGATCAGGCCAAAGTTCAAATAGGTTAAGTTGCTGCTCCTCAGCAATCCCATTAAACCAGGGGTGAGGAACCACTGGCCTTCCAGATGTTGCTGGAATGAAACTCCCATTAGTCCCAGTCAGTATGGGCAATGGGCGTTGCAATCCAACAACATCTGGCGGGTCTCAGTTGTCTTAGCCCTGCATTAACAATAAAATGTTTCTGATGCCAGAAATTAAGCCGCCCCAAGGTAGCCAACCTCCTGTGAAATTGCGAAATTACATCACTTTGTACAGCATTCTTTAAAAATGAATGAATTAATAAACAAGCAAAAGTTTGCACTACAATGAACTTGAAGTGAAATTAAGTATAAATTCTTATCATGGTTCAGCTACCTCTTTCTGTTAGGTTTGATTAGGAATTTTGCCCCCAGTGCATTCTGATTTGTCATGTTATAAATGTATTTCATAGTCTAGTTTTTTAAAAAATAAAAATTCTGTATGTGTTCTTATGTCATTTTGCATCAAAGCTTTGGTGATCTGTGATTTGCTAATAAAAAAATTGTTTGTTGACTAACGTGTGTTGGTGGCTTAACTGATATGGGATGTCATTGTGTTGTTTTGTAACAGAAGGTTGCACATTATTACTTAGCTTATTGACTGGGGCGTAGGCACACATTCTGTTTCTGCAACAGAAATCTGACACCCAATACCTGGAGAGTGAAAAACACACACACCCCTTTGATAGGTATAAAGTGAGGCACAGTTTAGCTCAGGGCTAGCTAAACCCACACTTCTCATTGTACAGTCTAGCTTTTAATGTATGCATCTATTTTATAGCTCACCTTTCCTCCACGAAGTCATCACATAGGGTTCTTCCCATTCTAACCCACCTCAAATCTGCCCTCTCAAGAACCCTGTGATGTAGGTTTAGTCTGAGAGAAAATGGCCGAAGATCATAAACCAGTGTATTTAGGGTTGTCGGTAGGTGGGCACAAGACAAAAGTGGGTGGTGTGAAGTTACATTCAGATATAAAATCAGATATACACAAGGACATGTTTCTCCAGCCAGGTATTATCTTTGCACAGACCCACTCCAGCCAGGTAAAAGCACTTGAGAGGGACCAATGAAAGGTGCAGCCTGAGGAGACATGGCCTAGGGAGAGTCCTGAGGGCTTGA